TTCAAAAGTAATATAGAACTTAAATATAATAATTGAGTTAGATGAAATTGATATGATTTTTAAGGTTTTTTTTCACAAAAATTTGTAAATTGTCCTCATATAACGGATTATTATCATTTTTGTTTTAGTAATTTACCACAAGATTTAGGTAAAGTTTATTGTTTAAAAAAATCTGATGGTAATGAAGTTTGTTATAAACTTTTATATAATTATAATTTTAATGTATATAAACAATTAGATATTTTAGAGATTGCTTCTATGTCAAATGAAAGAAAAAAATACTATATACAAAAATTAGAAAATATGTAGAAGATCCATATAAAGATGTTTATTGTTCAAAACCTTAATTAGTTTTTTTTATTTTTATTTATTTTTAATCTTTTATTTTTATTTTTATTTATATTAATACTTATTTTTATTTATTTTTTATTTTTATATTTTTATTTCTAAAAAAAAAGGAATTTTTTAATAAAAAAATTTTTTCTGGGGGGTATGAATACCCCTCCAGACCTCCCATTCAAACACACATTCAAACTATTAATAATGGTTTTAATTAAAGTTAAAATATTTTGAATTTTATAAAGGTCATTTCCAAATTTTATGTCGATCATTTCTAAAATCTAATTTTAGATTTTTTGACTGATGTTACATAAAAAAATGAGAACGGCCTAATTGCTTGCTTTGTTAATAAGATAATCGACTATAAAAATTTAACCAAATAAGTTCATATATCATATAATAATATGAATCAAAAATCTCAATTTTAGTTAGGTGGGGTCCCGTAAGGTGATTTTAATAGCTTAGCCCCCAAATACTAATTCGGTTTTACTGACTTTTCTCTAATTTTTAGTGAAAAGGTTCCTCACATACAATTCGAGTTGCGCAATTATTTCGATAGGATTCCGCAATATTAATTCGAAGAGGAACATCATGGTCGTTGATTGTATAAATAATTATAGTACAAATCAATTGCGGTACAGGAATTTCTAAAAATTTTGCATTTCTAGTTTTTGTCTGATCCTAACATTAATTCTTAAATTAATCTATTTATTTTTCATATACGGAAGAGAATGTATGAATTCCCAAATTTAATGCGAATCTGACAAGTAGTTTCTAAGAATATACAATACATTGGAATATCTTTCTTTTTAAAATATATTTTAAATTTGATACAATTATACCTCCCACGAACCTTGATGAAATCATGAATCCTTTCTGGTATAGACCGGATTAGTTAGTACAAGTTTCCAGACCTGCTGTATCTTATTCCATATACAGAATGATGATCGGGTTAAAACTTAGATTTCGAGGTATCATCGAAACTGTATAATCGAAACTAAAATGTAATGAATGATTTATATACAGTATGTAGGTAATTTTTATTTATACATGGTATGAATGATAAATAGAATTTCGTATAAGAAGTTACTCAACCCAGGATTATGAATAGTCCAGTCATTTATCTTTAAGATCCAAGTTATATTCTCATTTAATACACCATGTAAAGGTTAAATAAAATTATTCCATAGGAAAGTAGTACATCAAGTTATATATGACCATTTTTTTTTACCTTTTATTTTCAATGCCTAAATAACGAATTTTTTTAAAAAAAAAAAAAAATAAAAATAAATCATTACGGATTGATAATTCGAAAAAAATGACGTTAGTAATTCACTAGTTTTTTTCTGGTATAAAGGTCCGATATCATACTTCCGAAGGAATACAGATTCACTCTTTTTTTTTATCCCTTATGTATATTTCTTCAAAAAAAAATATTCATGATTTAAAATAAACAATTTATAAATAAAACAAGTTCCCAAATTTGAACATCACGCATTGAAAGTTTATCATCGAGAATAAGAGTAATCAAATCCTTTTCTGTAAGTTGAAGAAAAGTTAATGACCTCGAATAATTTCTCTGGATTTTTGATATTAATATTGTACAAAACATTTGTTTGATATATAAAGGTAAAAATATATTCCATCCAATTTAAATGATTCTCAAGCAAAAAATGATTGTAAATAGACGATCAACTCTTGAAGACTTAATTCATTGGCATATTAAATAGATCTAAAATATTATGTTTCTCCAAAGAAAGTTTGCGCCATAATATCTTGAATAAAAAAATATATATTTGTTAAAGAAAATCACTTTATAAACGTTAAGTTATCTCAAGATGATATGAAAACATTCAGGTTTAATATTTGGTAATTTAATTTGTCTAAATTACCATTATGTCTCATTTTACTTAAAAACAAAAACAAAACTTTTCGGAAATAAAAGAGAATGATAGTGTAAAATTATCATTGAACGCAAAATATATATTTTTACATTCGTGATAATTTGAGTAACTTATTATCACCCATTATAATATTTTTTAATTTCAAAAATTATTTTTTAAAGGAAAGAAAATTATTCAAAAATTTTTACAACGCTGTGTAGTTGTCATACAATTACATAGCGAATCGAATTTACTGAATAATATGACCTTGAAATTACAAAGATAAATATTCTTGTTTATCAGAAAAGTTACCTACAAAAAAATTTGGTATTCTCATTCTTTTTTAATATATACCAGTTGAGATACGAACTGGACAATCGATCATAACCGCCATATATAACTAATGAAGGTAAAATACTGTAGGCTGACTACATCTATAAATTATTTAGGGATGGATCGGTCCTGGTAAGACCGGTCTTAGACCTTTTAATAGGACCGGTCTTTGCGGTCCTCGGTCCATATTCTGAGGACCGGTCCGGACCATTCCTTTACTATTTTTAGCATATTAATGTTAATTTATTTATAAAATATTAAAAAATTATAGTTGGATCGACCCGGTTTTCATCTCTCTTATGGTCCATAAGTCAGTCCTAATATTTTACTGTAACGATACTACCGAAATGAAATATCGGACATGGAGAAATAATGAGATTAAGAAGGCGCAATAATCGTTTCGTATGCAATGATTTTATTATTATACTTTTTTATTTATAATTATTTTATTAAATTGATAATTTTATATGTATATATTTTCTAATATGCTTTAAACAGATTCTTGGGCCAATCTTATAAATCAGTCTGGTAAGAAAACAAATTTTGGATCGGACCGAACTGGTAGAACCGAATGGTGCAAGACCGGTCTTAGGATCGGTCCTTGGACTGACTTATGGACCGGTCCGGTCCAAAGAAAGATGAAAGACCGGTCTTTTTGGACCGGACCGGACCGGACCGATCCAACTCTACTATCAATGTCCTAATTCAAAGGTATAATTGTATATCTTCATAATTATGTACTGTATGCACTTCGAAATAGAATGTTAAATGTATCACATAAATTTTTAATTTTTTTTCCAGTATTTTCCTTTACCTTGTAATGCTCATATTCCAAACTTTTCTTTAAAACTTCGAGATAACACATGGCATTTGAAATTATAAGGGAAATGCCAGTAAAAATGAGTTAGCCTAAAAAATCATATTTGGTATATAAAAGTAAATATTATTTCAATTACCAAGGTCCCTTATAACTATTTTAGGCACCGGCAGTTGGATATATTAACAATTACAACATTTCGTTCTTACTATTCCTTTAGTATAATGAATATTTGTTATCTTTTAATATTAAAATTGATGTTTTTAAGTTTTTTTTTATTTTAATTGATAAAAAAAAAAAAAAAAAAAAAAAAAATTAAAGAATAAATAAATGAAAACCTATTTATTTAATTAACGCAACCCGAAGCTGAAATAGGAGGAGAAACATAAAATAAAAATGACAAAATAAAATAAAATAAAATTTATCAAAAAAAAGAAGTGAACCTTTATAACATATTGTATATGTACAGCAGGTTTTTTTTTATATTTTATTTATTTTTTTTTTTTGTCCTTTAAAGTTTTTCAATTTATGGATTCGGTCGTTTCAGAGACTTTTGGTTGAAAATTTTTCAGACTATGCGCCTTTTTCGGGTTTGTTTTTCGGGTTAGATGCATTAATTTTATTATTTATTTATTTTTATTTTTTTTAGTAGAGTTAGAATGCTGCACACTGCAGCAATTACTGTGAATTAACCTCATATTTCGGGTTAGCGATGTATTTCTTCCTTTATTCTTGTGATCTTAAGTTTTCATTTTGTTTGATGTTTTTATTGTTATTTTATTTTATTTAATTCGTTTTGTGCCGTAGCAATCGAAAAAGATCCCGCCTTATTTGATTGATCAATTGAAGTATTAATGATTTTTTGAATTTATTTTTTGTCCAAATATAACGCTAATAAATCTAACATACCAGTGAAAAGAAATCAGTTCCGCATCCTTGAATTTGACCTACTATTAGTTAAATAAAGTTTCACAAACAAAATCAAAATTGTACTACAGTTCAAAATTCAAAAAAAAAAATAATAATAAATACCAACTTCTAACTTTCGAGCTAGGGTAGGGTAAACTAAGAATTTCACAAAGAAAGTATTAGTTATTAAATATGAGTTAAATACTTTTTGACATATATATTTAGCTATATAATATTCGTGTACAGTATTACGAAAATTTTAATTAAATATATAAAGATAATTTTAAAGTTATTGGTATTCTTCTGTAATGATACCATGGTTTTTAGCGTATTAAGATTGTATAATATGTAATTCTAATAAAAGGCAATCTCTTTATTTTATTAAAAATATTAAAAATATCGGATCAAAGAATGCGAAGCAATTATCAAACGAAACATCACATAACTCTATTGTCACGTGAATTCATTCCAAATTTAGAAATTTATGATCAAATTGTTTTTGGAATTATTAACGTCGTCAAATCAGAAGACCGGTTCAAATCTAATTGCGATGCCAGACCTCCCTATGTACTTCTTCAGGATTTCATGGCCTTTACATGATTTCCCTTGATTGAACTATTGTATTCAAAGTTCACTTAATTTTTTACAGCAATGCCAAAATATTATTCAGTTTTCCGACTTTTTCACTCACGCTTTAGTGAAAAGATTCTCACTTGCATGAGGTATCAAGCTGAGTGGTGCAACAATTCATTTTCAATTGCGAAGAGAAATAAATGGGTTAGAAGAATGTTTTTCAGTTATGAAAGAATCAAACTGGATCATAACTTTCCCTTTCGTTGATTTTTTCTTTCCTAGAGGTATGTAAAAAAATAATAATATTGGTAATTCAATTCCAACATCTGATTCTATAATTATTTTTCATGCACTGAAAACAACGAAATGTGTCCTATATTCCGAAAAGGATTACGATCTTAAAATTCAAGAGAATTTTTATAATAACCGTTTATTTTTTTTGAAAATTTTTATAAGAATGGAATAGGTAATCTCATTATTTAATCTGTGATTGTCCAGAGAAACTTTTTAACTCGCATGTTGATGAACAAATGATATCATGCACGTAACGAATATCGACAAATGTGTTTCTGTGAAACTCGATTCTCTAAAACATTTGATAAGTCGAAATTTAATTTATAAATATTAAATTACTTATGTATAACTAAATAAAATGTTTCAATATAACAAATTCGAGCAACGCATATATGTCTGTCAATAAAAATACCGATTCAGGTTTCAAAAATTATTTATCAAGTAATTTCCTTGTGTTTATGAATTTTTATAATAATGTAGTTTGCTGCAAATGATTGACGAATTACATTGCATTGTTATGCGTTGTACGACTTTGACAATAAAAAAGAAACTAGGAAAAAAAAAAGCACTTTTTAATTTTCTAACGAAGTCTGACAATAAAAAAAAAATAGACGTAGTTGGTGAGTATAAAGCTTAGCGCATTTAAATAAGTTTATCTGAAATTAAACCTGATATCCTATTTATCCTATTAATTAATTATTATTCTCATAAATTTAATAAATATTCAATACTTAGAATCAGGTCCAAGAGCAAAAACAAACTCATACTGATAGTAAACATGATTTTTAATTATCAGATTTAATTATACTTTTATTATAATTTAAACTCAACTAATCTATGATTTAAAAAACTAAAGCAAGTAAGTTATTTTTATTAATTATTAGTATTTAATAATTATTTTATTGTAATTTAAACTCGAACTAAATTTTTTATTTAATTAAAATTTAAAATTACAGTGAGTAAGTATTAATTATTAGTATTTAATTATATTTTTATTGTAATTTAAACTCAACTAAATTTTTATTTAAAAATTAAAATATTACTAAAGACGGTAAGTTATTTTTATTAATTTTCAGTATTCAATTATACTTTTTATTGTAATTTAAACTCAACTAAATTTTTATTTATAAATTAAAATATCACTAAAGACGGTAAGTTATTTTTATTAATTATCAGTATTCAATTATACTTTATATTGTAATTTAAACTCAACTAAATTTTTTATTAAAAACTAAAGACCGTAAGTTATTTTTATTAATTATCAGTATTTAATTATACATTTTATTGTAATTTAAACTCAACTAAATTTTTTATTTAATTAAAATTTAAAATTACAATTATTGTAATTTAAATTCAACTAAATTTTTTATTTAATTAAAATATACAATTATAGTTAGTAAGTTATTTTTATTATTTATAAGTATTTAATTATACTTTTATTGTAATTTAAACTCAACTAAATTTTTATTTAAAATTACAGATGGTAAATTCTTTTTATTAACTATCAGTATTAATTATACTTTTTATTGTAATTTAAACTCAACTAAATTTTTTATTAAAAAACTAAAGAGTGTAAGTTATTTTTATTAATTTTCAGTATTCAATTATACTTTTATTGTAATTTAAACTCAACTAAATTTTTTATTTAATTAAAATTTAAAATTACAGTTTGTAAGTTATTTTTATTAATTATTAGTATTTTAATTATACTTTTTATTGTAAATTAAACTCAACTAAATTTTTTATTTAATTAAAATTTAAAATTACAGTTCGTAAGTTATTTTTATTAATTATCAGTATTTTAATTATACTTTTTATTGTAAATTAAACTCAACTAAATATTTATTTAATTAAAATTTTAAATTACAGTTGGTAAGTTATTTTCATTAATTATTAGTATTTAATTATAATTATTTTTGTAATTTAAACTCAACTAAATTATCATTATATAATTAAAAAACTAAAGAGCGTAAGTTATTTTTATTAATTTTCAGTATCCAATTATAATTATTTTTGTAATTTAAACTCAACTAAATTTTTATTTAAAAACTAAAGAGAGTAAGTTATTTTTATTAATTATCAGTATTTAATTATCAGTAATTATAATTCAACTAAATTTTTTATTTAATTAAAATATATAATTATAGTTAGTAAGTTATTATTATTAATTATCAGTATTCAATTATACTCTTATTATAATTTAAATTCAACTAAATTTTTTATTAAAAAACAAAAGAGCGTAAGTTATTTTTATTAATTATCAGTATCTAATTATACTTTTTATTGTAATTTAAACTCAACTAAATTTTTTCTTTATTAAAATTTAAAATTACAGGTAGTAAGTTATTTTTATTAACTATCAGTATTCAATTATACTTTTTATTGTAACTTAAACTCAATTAAATTTTTTATTTAATTAAAATTTAAAATTACAGTTAGTAAGTTATTTTTATTAATTATCAGTATTTATTTATTGTAATTTAAATTCAACTAAATTTTTTATTAATAAATTAAAAAGCGTAAGTTATTTTAATTAATTATCAATATTTAATTATTCTTTTTATTATAATTTAAACTTAACTAAATTATACATTTAAAAAATTAAAGAGCGTAAGTTATTTTTATTAATTATCAGTATTTAATTATACTTTTTATTGTAGTTTAAACTTAACTAAATTTTTTATTTAATTAAAATTTAAAATTACAGTTCGTAAGTTATTTTTATTAATTATCAGTATTCAATTATACTTTTTATTGTAATTTAAATTTAAATTTAACTAAATATTTTATTTAAAAAATTAAAGAGAGTAAGTTATTTTTATTAATTATCAATATTTAATTATAATTTTTATTGTAATTTAAACTCAAGTAAATTTTTATTTAATTAAATTTAAAATTACAGTTGGTAAGTTATTTTTATTAATTATCAGTATTTAATTATTGTAATTTAAATTCAACTAAATTTTTTGTTTAATTAAAATTTAAAACTTAAGAGCGTAAGTTATTTTTATTAATTATTAGTATTTAATTATACTTTTTTATAATTTAAACTCTATTTTTTATTTAATTAAAATTTAAAATTACAGTTCGTAAGTTATTTTTATTAATTATCAGTATAAAATTATACTTTTTATTATAATTTAAATTTAAATTTAACTAAATATTTTTTTAAAAAACTAAAGAGAGTAAGTTATTTTATTAATTATTAGTATTTAATTATTCTTTTGATTGTAATTTAAATTCAACTAAATTTTTTATTTAATTAAAATTTAAAATTACAGTTCGTAAGTTATTTTTATTAATTATTCAGTATTTAATTATTATAATTTAAATTCAACTAAATTTATATTTAAAAACTAAAGAACATAAGTTATTTTTATTAATTCTTCAATTATACTTTATATTGTAATTTAAATTCAACTAAATTTTTATTTAAAAAACTAAAGAGCGTAAGTTATTTTAATTAATTATCAGTATTTAATTATTGTAATTTAAATTCAACTAAATTTTTTATTTAATTAAAATTTAAAATTACAGATGGTAAATTATTTTATTAATTATTAGTATTTAATTATACTTTATATTGTAATTTAAATTCAACTAAATTTTTATTTAAAAATTAAAATATCATTAAAGACGGTAAGTTATTTTTATTAATTATCAGTATTTAATTATATTTTTATTGTAATTTAAACTTAACTGAATTTTTATTAAAAACTAAAGAGCGTAAGTTATATTATTAATTATTAGTATTTAATTATTGTAATTTAAATCCAACCAAATTTTTTATATATAAAAATTTAAAATTACTGTTTGTAAGTTATTTTTATTAATTATCAGTATTCAATTATACTTTTTATTGTAATTTAAACTCAATTAAATATTTTATTTAATTAAAATTTAAAATTACAATTAGTAAGTTATTTTTATTAATTATCAGTATTTATTTATTGTAATTTAAATTCAACTAAATTTTTATTTACTTAAAATATAAATCTAAAAGAGGATAAATTATTTTTATTAATTATCAGGTTTTAATTATTATAATTTAAATTCAACTAAATTTTTTATTTAATTAAAATATAAATCTAAAAATAGGTAAATTATTTTTATTAATTATTAGTATTTAATTATACTTTTTATTATAACTTAAACTCAACTAAATTTTATTAAAAAACTAAAGAGCGTAAGTTATTTTTATTAATTATTAGTATTTAATTATACTTTTTATTGTAATTTAAACTCAACTAAATTTTTATTTAATTAAAATATAAAATTACAGCTCGTAAGTTATTTTATTAATTATTAGTATTTAATTATACTTTTTATTGTGATTTAGACTCAACTAAATTTTTTATTTAATTAAAATTTAAAATTACAATTATTGTAATTTAAATTCAACTAAATTTTTTATTTAATTAAAATATACAATTATAGTTAGTAAGTTATTTTTATTATTTATAAGTATTTAATTATACTTTTATTGTAATTTAAACTCAACTAAATTTTTATTTAAAATTACAGATGGTAAATTCTTTTTATTAACTATCAGTATTAATTATACTTTTTATTGTAATTTAAACTCAACTAAATTTTTTATTAAAAAACTAAAGAGTGTAAGTTATTTTTATTAATTTTCAGTATTCAATTATACTTTTATTGTAATTTAAACTCAACTAAATTTTTTATTTAATTAAAATTTAAAATTACAGTTTGTAAGTTATTTTTATTAATTATTAGTATTTAATTATACTTTTTATTGTAATTTAAATTTAAACTCAACTAAATTTTTTATTTAATTAAAATTTAAAATTACAGTTGGTAGGTTATTTTATTGATTATCAGCATTTAATTATACTTTTTATTATAAATTAAACTCAAATAAATTTATTATTAAAAAAAAATATTTAATAATTAAAAATCATTAGATGGTAAATTATTTTATAATTTTTAATATTTAATTATATTTTTGATTGTAATTTAAATTTTTTATTTAAAATATATTTAATAATTAATAATATATTAGATAGTAAGTAATTTTTTTATTGTTTATTAGTATTTAATTATACTTTTTTTATTAACTAAAATTTTTGTTTAAATGAAATTTATAATTATAGTTAGTAAGTTATTTTAATCAATTATTATTTATATTAAAAATAAATGTAATATAGTATTATATATTTTTTTTATTAATGGTATAAATTTTAGAATCTGATAAATTTCATAAGGATAATGCTAATAAATGGATAGAAAATGCATTAAATAGTAAAGAAGTTAAATTTATACCATTTAATCAATTAATAAATTCTGAAAACCTTACTACTGGAGGATTTGGATCTATTATGAAAGCAACTTGGATTACAACAGGAACATGTATTGTGTATAAAAGATTAACTAATGCACAATCTATTAAAGGTAGTATATTAGATGCTTTTATTCATGAATTAAAAATCCATTTACGTTTTGATTTTTGTGATCGAATTGTTCGTTGTTTTGGTATTAGTAAAGGTAATTTATAATTAATTTTCTAAGTTTAATTTTTTGCATTAAATTTATTATTATAAAAATTCCATTCCTTACACTTTTTATAGATCACGAAGATTATCTTCTTGTAATGCAATATGCTAATGATGGTGATCTTCAAAATTATCTTGAAAAGAATTTTAAAAATTTAACTTGGAATAATAAGAAAAAATTAGCATTTCAAATTGCTGAAGGATTAAATTACTTACATAACGAAAATATTTTGCATAGAGATCTTGTAAGTATTAACTTTGTTTATTTATTAAAGTTTAATTTAGTTCTTAAATATTTATTTGAATTATTTATTTAATTTAGCATTCTAAGAATATAGTCATTCATGATGGTAATGCAAAAATAACAGATTTTGGCATTTCCAAAAATATGAACATGCAAAATTCTACTATACATATCGGAACTTTTGGTAGAATTCCATATGTAGATCCAAAAAAACTTTTAGATTTAAATTTTCAATATGAAAAAGCTTCAGATATTTACAGTTATGGTGTATTGATGTGGGAAATTTCTAGCGGAGTTCCACCATTTAAGGATTTTATTGGCAGAAGTGATCAACAGTTGCTTTGCATTAAAATTATTAATGGATATCGTGAAAATGTTATAGAAGATACCCCTGACGATTATAAGGAACTTTATGAAAAATGTTGGGATTCAATACCTGAGAAAAGACCAAGTATTAAAATTATATTAGAAGAATTTAAAAAAATGGGTTTTGGAATAGAAAATGAAGGTAATGGGGATTCAATTCCTATGGTAAATGAAATAAGCAATAAGAATATTTCGGCCGAAGGTACAGTAATGACTAGTTATATATTATAGTTTTAAATACAGTATATACTAATTTATTAATGATAATAATGATATTTAAGTAGGACAAACCGAAGAATTAAATCGTACTCTAGTTACAGATGATTTAAGTAGTAAGTTATTTAATTTATATTTTTGATATTAAATAAAAACAGTATATACTAATAAATTTGAATTTTTATTGTTATATTTAGTTCCATAATATGAATATGATTTAAGCAGTTGGATATTAATTTATATAGATTTTGTTTATTTTATTTTTATATCATTTCATATTTTCTTATGTAATATTTAAGAGTATTTCTTAAATTATACGGAGTTTATAAAATAAATCTAGTATTAACAAATTGCTAAATTATGGATTTGTTAAAAAAAGATAATATATTATATATGGATGGATGGTTAAATAAACTTCAAATATAAAACTTAGAAATTTATAAAAATTAATTTTTGGGATAAATATTTGAAGATCCAATTTCCACGATATCTTAACGAACTAATGATTGTTGGATAAATTTTAACCATGATTGTATTTTAACTTTTTAAGTTTAAACTTTCTGGAATTTAAATTGTGAGTTGCTCTTAAAATATTAATAACTTTATTTTTAAAGGATTTTGAAATGAAAAAAAAAATAACGTAATTATTTTTTTCTTGTTTTATTTGCTTTATAAATTATGTCTTTATATTTTGCGCATTTTAACGGAGTGGACGAAGTATACTCATCTCGTTAAAAAATTGAACCTAAAAGAGATTTAAAAAATTTTTTTTGATTGCTACACAGCAAATAAAGAAGAAAAAAAAAAACTTTACCTTATCCTTGCGAAGTGAGTTCAGATAAATATATTCTATAGCAATTGAATCCGAAACACAAATAACAATTTAAAAAAAATATTGCCAAAGTAGTAGTCTAACTTGAAAGAAATCGCCTAAAAAAAGCAAGATAAAGAAAGAATAATATTAAAAAAATAAAGAACCAAAAAAAAAATTCAAAAAAAATCGTAACTTAAAATAAGAAGAAAAAAATTATATCACAGGAAAATAAAATCAACATCATTTAAATATTTTGTTTCTTATCGCTAATTATAATCTAAAATAGTCTATTCTAACACTGCGTCTGAAGCGATCGGATTAAAATAAACCCCAAGAAAAATTACGTGAAAGTAACTGACTCACCTGTCCTTGCATAAACGATCCATCTGAAAAGTTCTCAAGGAAAGAAAATAGCTCAATAAGATTTAGGTTAATATATTTAAATTTCAAAAATTTCTTTTCCGTTATGTAAGTAAAAACTTCATTCGTTGTAAATTATACCAAATATTGCAATAATTTGTTAGCGCAAAAAAAAAGTAGAAAATAATAAACTTACTTTCAGTAAGGTTATGCATTCTTTTCTCTATGCTAATAATCATTATATTTTTTTGAAATTGACCGATATAAATGATAGACGTGCGTATTAATCAAAGTTTGAATTGTATTTCTAGGATATGCTTTTATAGTATTTATCTTATATAGCCGATTTATGTGAATTTACATTTCACTCGACATTTATTCGCCTGATTAGCTTAATATTTTATCATCGAAGCCGCGATTGTTGATCGGATTGTTATTTATTCGTTATAAATTGATTCATGCCAATTGACATTGAGCTCGTAATAAAGTTAAAGCTTCCAATGATGAAAATTGTCGGTCTTTCTTTGGAGCTAATGAAATCTTTATTAAACTCCCTCTCGTAAGAGTCTTTTATTTATTTCACTACTGCTCACACTTGCACTTTGATTTCTTATGACATTAGTGCAATTCCAAAGTTTTACGTCGTTCGTATAACAAATCTTCAATTGGTTTTGAGAAATTTTTATCAGGGCTTATTCTTGCAACAACGAAAGGTTAGAGCCTCGAAGCCGATCGTTCGAAAATTTTAAGTGAAATCATTATCGGAAAAAATTCAGAACTTAACACGCACTTAGATACTCCAGAAACTGTATGTGTGATAGAGTGATTTATTCAAAATCTCGGGTTGATGCGATCCACTTCAAGGAGCTATTTAGAAGTTGGAACCGGTTCAAATGATTTCGCACGTGACTGCTGCGTCCTGCAGTACAAAAACTTAGAAAAATATTTTTCAGTTAATGTTACACAAAACCATCCTGAGTCTCGTGACTTGGAGGTCATGTGATCTGGATTCGAGCTGCGCGGTTAGATTAAGAAAAGTCACATGACTGCGCTAAGCTTGGTCAATTTAAAGTGTTAAATTTTACCCAGTAATGACTTTTAGGTATAGTCGGTAAACAAGTCTCAGGAAAAAAATACGTTTATTTTTCATTCTCTGTTTCATATATAAATTTCAAATGTTTATTGTGACTCTCGATGCTTATATTGTATATAGGTAGAACGAGTTGAGAAAGTTGCTGTGTACCATCATTTATTCTTGTTATAGTAGGCATAGTTGGCTCAAAATGTATGCGTTGGGCAACAAGGAGAATATTTGGAATTTGTTCATGGTACATCAATGGATAAGGCGAAGGAAATCAACAATACTTAGATATCGTTAACGGTGTGCAAGGTCTACTGCACGAGAATAACATGGTGTGGTGTTACGGAACTTCACACTCCAAAAATTATGGTGTCCAAAATTAATGGAAAGGAATAGGTAATGCTTTCAAGCAAGATCGATATATATACACAATGGCTTTTGTTCTTCTTTTTAGCATTCGTAAAACATCAATTTAAAGCTTCACGTAAATTCATAAATATTTCTGCGAATACTTTCATATAGAATGCATTCATATTAAATTATAGTCCTTGACTATATCTTTGTTCATAACAATTCTTGCTATTATCAAATATACTAATACAATAACGTTCAATTGACCTTAGAAAGTGAATATATATAAATATATAAATGTACTTGTTTTTTACGATGTTTATAAATTGAACTTTATCAAATTGATATGCCATGTACATAAATCTTTAAATTTATTCGTTATTCACAAACAATTTTTTTTGCAGAATTATCATTCCAAAATGCTTACTTCCGGGCATCATTATACTCTTTATTAATCTGCAAGTATTTTATGAATAATTTCATGATATAGTGGCACAGTAGCTTACGGTAAAAAAAATTATGCATCGCGTTTAACATTTTTTTTACGATTATAGATCTCTTTACCAAAAAGTGCAATATGATTTCACGACTATTATAAAAAGAAAATCAGGATAGCTCTATTAATAATTCTTTCACCTCGAAAACTGACTTCCAAAATATTAGAATCATGTGAGTTCTACGAAGACGAAAATGGTCACATTATGTCATCAATTCTTCTAAGGAACTGAAGCTTGTATTTAGCTAAGGATGAAAGATATCAAGCAAGAAGATTTATGGGGTGATAATATGCTTCAGTCAAAGGAAGGAACGTACAATATGTAGTCCAGCTGACCCTGAAGGTCAAGAATATAAGTTAAAATCCTGATTTTTCTTCCAATTCTAGCGAGAACGAAGAGGGTTAGGAGATACCAAAGGAATCAGATGAAGAGATATATGATAGATATGATGGAAGGACAGAAGATATGAAAGGAAAGTGTCGCTAATAATGATTACTTTAATATCCGTCTAGAACTTAACATATACCATATCATCGAGGTATTATCATCTTCATCAGTATCCTAATCATCGGTTCCATCAGAGGCGATTCCATGTCTCAGTCAGAAGAAGGATCAAATGAAGCTAGGCAGATGATGATGACGACGACTCTGATTCTGATGAATCTATAGATTTGAATACCCAATGCATTAGATACTCTTACGTGAAGAGATAGCTCAGTTAAAAGGAATCGATTACAAAGCAATCATCGAGAACTCAGCATAGTCTGCTGGAATCAGATTAATAAAAAGGGTAATATGTTAATTCCTTTTTTCGAACCTGTGGCTTATACAAAAATCAAGAAAAATAGGTATCACGGGCTAAATGTCAAACTTTGTATTAATAAATTTACCATGGCAAAGTTATCTTTTGTATTTCAATGTCTCACAAATAAAAAGTGCATCTTAGCCAGTGACGATACATATCATTATGAGCTTTTACAGGTCAATTTTTCAGCAAATTGTTGCATTTGTCAAATAAATATAGGTATTTTCAGTTCTATATTTATTTTTTTTGGTATACATTTTGTTAAATTATTAAAACTATTTAGTATCAATCATTCATAAATTTATTAAATTTTAAATAAAAATAAATATTCTCATAAGAACTTTGTATATGATTTAACGTTAAAATGAAAACAAATATTTAAAAAAAAATACTAGGTTAAATTTATATTTAAATGCAGTCGCCTCCCTATAAGCGCATTTTTGTTAGACCGAAGGTAGCTGTAATACTTCTATAATCACATCATATAGCTTTTTATAATCACGCCAATTTTTTGTGTGAATATATTAGAAAATCGATTGTATAAAAAAAAAAAATTATTTTTCGTTTCGAATAGATTCTTTTTTTTTTATTAGATGTTATAATAAATTCAATTTTAGTAAATTAATAATGTGTGGATATTATTAAGTGATCGAAATTATTTTTCATCAACTTTTTATTTTTGACGTTTATTTCGAAAAAAAAAAACTTTTTTTGTCTATTTTAATGGATGATATATACGTAACAAAAAAAAAGTAAACTTAATACTTAATAATTTATAATTTCGCCGTTTGCGTTACGAATGGCGCAGCAAAATTGATGCAAAAGTTCGTTGAAAAAGAAAAGATTCAAGTCACAGAAATCAATATTATAGAAATCAATGAGAATTAGATTTATTAATAAACGAAATAATGTTTTATTCAATATAAAAAAAAATCACATTTATTTAATAATAACATCAATATAAAATTATAAAACTTTTATGGGATTCAACATTTATATTTTATAAACATGCAAGGGATTGTTGGAAGGGAAAGAGGTTTAAGGATTGGAAGGGTAAGAGGGTAAGGAATTACAAGGAATAACGTAAACTAATCTATAACAACCTAACTATAGAAAATTAAACAGTTCAACGCTTATAGTCAATTATTCCAGAGACGTGTCGATCTTGCGAGTTTTAACACCAAGGACATCCTAATCATCTCCTCCGTCTTTTGCACAAGATAATCCAACTCTTCTTTCTCTCATTATATGACCGTAGTTGTTTCTTTTGTTTATGAATATTTCTCGTGTTACCAAAAATTTATTATAATTCAAACTCTTATAAATTTTGAGAAAAATTTATTATAATTCAAACTTCTTTAAAGTTTCGAATTTTGAATTCTCCAGAAGTATAATTTGAATTTCAACAAAAATTTATTATAATTCAAACTCCTTTAGAAGTTGAATTATTTTTTTCAATAACGTAAAAGCAGTGTTAATATAATAATAAGAACTTGTAAAAGGTTTTTGAAAGACAAGCAAGGATGTGTCTTCAAGGTATTGCGTTTGAAGGACATTTTGTAGATTTTCGGTAAAATTTTTTTCAGGAAAAAATTAAAATGCGAAAAAAAAAAAAATCGATAGTTTTTAAGGAGGGGGATCTTCGCTTCAAAACAATGAAAAAGATTATTTAAGGTAATACAATAAGATAACCCCAAAACCCCAACATTTTCTCATAAGCCTTCACATATTTCACGTTTTGTTGCATTTCATGGCGTTCGTTTATCGGAGGACAATAAATTTTAAAAGCAAGAAGGCTTCTTATGTCGGACCATTTAACAAATGTATAACAATTTTGTGTGGTCAATCTAAAAGTACCCGTGTAAAAAAGATATCAATCTGTTTTCACATGGTGTAACTTTTAAATGTGCTGTGCTCATAAATTGTATTAATGTTATTGGTTCATTTAATGTTAAAAGATTAAAAATAAATTTTAAGTTCAATCTCTTATTTTTCATTGGTTAAAAGCACATATGACCAAATCTTTTATATTTTTTTTCCGTCAATTCAAGTATCCCTAATGACTTGTCTACTGTTCTTGAAAGAATTATGGTGAAATTATCATCAACTAATTCATAATCATCATCAATTGATGAGCAACATGAATTGAAACTCCATAAATCGTTTTCGATATTTGCAGTTAATCCTTTGATCATTTGCCAGCTGTCACGGTGTCAGGCTGTCAAGTGCCAAGTCGTTAATCCTTAAAGAGCACAACATACCACGCCCGCCCTTTTTATAGTACACCTTAAAAACCTTTCTTCTTTAATCCCTTCGCGATATTTTCGCTTTCGTAGCTTTAACATTTTAATTTTATAATGTAATTTCGTTTATTTTTTTTAATTCCCGTTATTTATTATTCAAATTTTCGTAATTGTGCAGTTTTAATAATTAGAATATTAGTAATTGGCATTTATTTAGTCTATTATATTGACATTTCAAAAATGTAGAGCATCGACTTTGAGGCAACACTTATTTATTTGATATTATTAAATAAATTTAGCGTCAACATTATTTCATTTTTACTCAATATAAACTTTCCGCTTACATTTAAAATTGTTTATAAATACATAAACGAAAGAACTGAATACAAAAGTATCTCTTTCGCCTAAAATATCACTTTTCATTAGTATAAAAAGGCGCAGCAAAATGAATAATGAAACCCACTGGAAGAAATTTCTTGCAGTAATCTTTGTTTTTACAGATAAATATAATAAAATTATGTACACTAAATCAAATTTATTTATATTGACGCCCAACGCCAATATTCCTCCCACCTAATTTCATGCTATTTCACCCTGACTTTAAAAAAACCGTGCTTAGCTCATAACTTACTTTTTGAAAAGCTATGCACGTCTTGTCTTTGTTCTTCACAAGCCATTTTCCAATAATTTTAGTTAAAACTCAACAAAATAAATAATGATAATAATGTTTTGAGGTTGTTAAGAAAAATATTATTTTTTTTTTTTTTGAGAAAACAATAAAAATAAATATAAAGGAAATATCCCTTCTACTTCTTCATTAGCTAATACATTAACCAAATTTTTTCAATAATTAAAAGAAATTCCAACTGAGAATATTTATAATAAAAATAATATTAAAAACTAATCCAAGTAAAAACAAGTGATTAAAATAATTATTCTTAAGAAAAAGAAATTTTCGTATCTTCTGGTAAACTCTTAAATTTTTAAAATCTTGGATTTTATTTTTTTGAGCAGCAATGTATTGATGAATTTAATGTAGAAAATTTAAATCTTTTTAAAATATATTTTAAGATAGTTAAAGATTTAGAAAGAATCCTGAAAGTAGGCATAAATTAAAGACTTTTTTTAATACTTAGTTAGTTTTAAATTGCATTTATATAATTTTTGAATATTTATAATTACATAGCAAATAATATTGAATAAATATTTTAATAAATTTCTTGTTGATTAATTTTATATTATAATTTATTATTATAATTAAAAATGAAAATAACCTTTATATAGTCATTTAATATGATTTTTATATGATAATGATTATATATAGAAGTTATTTTTTTACCAGTTACACTTATATATAATCACCAATTTTAGTAGAATTAATTAGGTAATTAT